CATCATGCACAGTTTTGGATGAATATGTTTCAGCGTCTTAAAGATGAAGGTTTATTTGATGGTTCTTTACTGGATAAGTCATTGGTTCAATTTTGCTTCGGAAGGTTGGTTCAGGTAAGAAATAGTGGCCTAAAGCGTGTTTTTTTTTTAAAAAGATAGAAGTCAAAATGACATTATGTTGGCAATACAATGTAAAATTGTCGATGCTTTCAAATTTTTTATGTAGAAAATGCTTGTGTTGCCAACATAGTTACTAAATTTTTGACTTGGGGAATTATCTTTAAAAAAAAAAAACAGAGTTTAGGTTCGGTAATTGTTTCTGCGCGCGAAATGAGCAGAATTTGACAGACGTCACTTGATGACTTCTCTCTTTTCACGTGTCAAATCACGTGGCATCTGTTAAATTTTGCCCATTTTGCTCGCCAGATGCAATTACCGAACCCAGCTACTAGCTAGTATATTACAATTCGAGACGGAAAATGCTTTTTTGCTGGTCAAGGGGTAATATAGTTTATCGAGAAGCTTAGCGTCGAGATAAAATAAACATTGAGACAGCAATGAAGTTTTCCGTCGAGGTTTGTATACAATTTTATTTTCAACCCTCAATTTCTGAGGCAAAAACTCAAAGATTTTATTGTACGAAATCAGCCTCCACTTTCTTTTGTCATTGTCATCAATTTTGACAGTCTTAAAGAATTGACAAATATCTTACAAAAAACAAGCAGGGAAATCAGGACGAAAACGCATTTTCCGTCCGTGGCAGGCATAGGGTGAAGAGGGGTAATTGCGGTTTGGGGCAAAAGTGGCACTTGTGGAAAGAAAATAGAAAAAAACTATATTCCAGGGTTGGAACATGCCAAACCTACTTCTTAATATATCTACTGTATAAGGTTTATTGAATAAAGAAGTTAGAACTTGTGTGAACCGAAATTTCCTACGTTTTGCCACATTGCCTTTTTTAGGTATAACTCGTACTTGGACACAATGTTATACTTTAATTTTTATCAAAGCTCTACGATGTATTTCAAGTACTTCGAACACTTTTGCTTGTATAATTTTGGACCCTGAGTCCATTTTTGATGTCAAAATGATTGTAATTTGAAGCACAGCATTACTAGACAGTCTGCCACTTCTACGAGCGTGCGGTAAAGTGCACTTTTCCGCACTCAGTGACCGCACTCCAAAATGACGTCATGACACAAAAAAATAGTGCGGAAAAGTACTTTACCCCACTATTTAAAATTTAATTCATCATAGCTCGATTCGATGAATATTCACAATTTCACATTATATCTCCACTTTTTGATCAAAATTCACTAAATAAAAATCTTTGTACCCAACACCATGCGTAAAGTGCCTTTTCCGCCATTGCCGGCTTGCCCGAACTCCGCTTCGCGTCGTCCGTGCAACTGCCGTCGCGTGCGGAAAAATACCACTTTCCGCACTTGTTAGGTAACTATTCCCAAACTTACAGCTTATCCGAACTCCGCTTCGCCTAGTTCGTCTAAGCCTAGTCTCCATTAACGCGAAATCGCTAGGCTCAACTGCTTTTTCGTGCAGGAAAATATCACTTTGCGCAAGTGTTAGGAAAAATAAATATAAACCATTACAAGTGTAATATCACCTATTTCAGAATACAAAAAGGCTTCAAATTTTGTAATAAAAATAACAGAACTGTATTTATAGTTATTTATATTACTAGTAAGGTATGAGCGCCATTACAGCAACGAGTGGGGAATATTGCCACAAAGAGGTCGTAAACTACACGAGTGCTGTAATTAGCGTTACCGTACCTACGTGCGATTTACAACATTTTATATACAGGGTGTATAATTTAAGTGATACCACTATTGCTATATCCGACACGGTAAGAGCTACAAGGTCAGTTAAATTATAAAAAAGTTGCCTTTTTTGATACCCATTTAAGATTCGTTTACAGTCTTGCCAAATTCCTTTTAGATTCTGAAATACAGGTTCATAACTAGGGCCAAATTGAGGTAAAGTTTTCGTAAAAATCACTGATGATCACTTTTTAGATCAGAAATGTCGACCAATCATACTTAAGAGGTATATCGTTAAAAAGAGAACAAATGACATAAAAAATCCAGGTCCGTATTTAAAAAAATTAAATTGATGATGGTAGCTCAATCACGAAAGGTCGGGTTCAAAATTTGAAGATACCATATTGAAGAGCGAAAAAAATTATAAAACTTTCAAATTTGAATTGTGTCCCGAAAATTAATAGTTTTCGAAATAATTGATGAAATATTTTTAGGCGTTTTTCAGAAATCACCCTGTATTTCCTAAACTAAAAGGAATTTGGCAACACTGTAAACGAGTCTTGAATGGGCATCAAAAAAGGCAATTTTTTTCTAATTTAACCGACCCTGTAGCTTTTACCGTTTCACATATAGCTATAGTGGTATCACTTAAAATATACAACCTGTATATAGGTATATACTTTTTACGACCCAGATTTTAAAATTGTGAAATAATTGCTGATTTTTAAATGAAAATGAGTAACGACCTTATAACATTACTAGTGAGGTAATGATCTCATTACATAACTAGTGCGATAATACAACTTACAACGTAACTCAAACAGGCTAAGGGCGGGTATTATAAAACTACTTTGAGAGTTAACTTAAAGTTAACTTCTGGAATTACATGTAATTCAAAAAGTAAACTTCAAGTTAACTGTTAAAGCAGTTTTATAATACCCGCCCTAAAATGGGTTATGTAATAAGCTCTTATAGTGTAAGTCGTCTATAAAATAAATTAAATTGATGGTTTCTGGGAAACGAAACGTCGCAGAGAAAATTTGTGAACGCCATCTTCTTGAGCCAAAAATGGAAAAGTGCCTTATTTATTTTCTTATATCAAAATAACGTCAGGAAAAATTAAAAGCCGAAATCGAAAAAAAATAACTTTTTCTTCAAACGTCAGTAAATCCGACATTTCTCTACTGAGTATTCGGCCACGAAGTTTCATTTTTCCTCCGGCGGCGGGAAAGTGAAAAGTAAATCTCCGGCGGAGAAAAAGTGAAAATTTGTGGCCGAATACTCATTCGAATTTTTGCATTAATTTGCCGAAGTGAAGAAAAAACAGCATATTTTTTTAAGAGAAAAATCTACTTTTCATGATAATTATGTCTTACTCACTATTAGCAGTCGAACGCAGTGAGCGTGCCATGAAAAGTATCACGTACTGTGCAAAATACAATAATATTCAAATTTCAAACTGACAACTTGGAAATTAATTTTCTTTAATTAGTTTTCGCAGCATTTGTCAGGGACTGTAGTACCTACTTAAGCACAAAATTCAGTAAATAAAATTCCATACGATGATATAAATCTTTATTTATCAAAACAAACTGAAATAAAATTCTTTACTGAGTAATAACGCTTTCCTAGCATAATTCCAAAACTAGCTACCTTTCAAACTTACACTTAAAAAAAGAGTCAGTGAAAGCTCAGGCCTAAATTCAGCAGACCTACCACAACAAAATAAAATAAAATTCTTTAATAAGTCTAAGAACCAGTGAACTTTTCGCGTAAAAAGTTCCCGATGGAAAATTTCTTTCTTGAACGATGTAGTATCGATGACCCGTGATCGAAAACCATAGTCTGGCAGCATTTCTGGGCAGCATGTAGCGGGGAAGTTTGCCCAAAGTGCAAAAAAAAAATTAGAATTTCGAAAAACTTGACGAAAGATGTCATTGCTTGGTTTTTGTCTAAATTAAGAGTGCGTTGATTTCACAAAAATCAACCATAAACAGAACACAGTACTGTCAGATTTGAGCGCCATTGACGTCCCTAATTTAAACAAAAACTGGGTGTCAGCAAGTATTCCGAATTTATATATTTTTTGCACTTTGGAGGCGTCTAGCAAGATTTTAAACCAGTGAAAACCGGGTGGTATTATTACAGCCTTGTCAATGGCACATTTTTAAATGATCGTTTAAGCAAGAAATTTTCCATCGGCAACTTTTCACGGAAAAAATTCACTGGCTCTTAAACTATAAATAAAACACAAAAATGAACGCTTTCGGATAATTAGCTACTTTTCAAATTTAACCATAAAATAAATAATCAGTCAAAACTGAAGACTTATGCCCATTTTTCCAGCACTTTTTAAGGTTGATTTAAGGAATTTAAGGGTTTCTTTAGTGAAGTATTCCTTAAAATGACAGTTTTGCAGGCGAAATATCACTTTAAGGAATACTTGTCACTAAGAAACCCTTAAATCAACGTTAAAGAGTGGTGCGAAAATGGGCATAAATTTAGCAGACCTACCACAACAAAATAAAATAAAATTCTTTGAAAAGTAAAACATAAAAATGAACGCTTTCGGATTATTCCAAAGTTAGCTACTTTTCAAATTTAGGTAAACATAAAAAAAATAATCAGTCAGAACTGAAGACTGAAGACTTATGCCTGTTTTTCCAGCACTCTTTAAGGTTGATTTAAGGGTTTCTTAGTGAAGTATTCCTTAAAATGACAGTTTTGCAGGCGGAATGTCACTTTAAGGAATACTTGTCACTGAGAAACCCTTAAATCAACGTTAAAGAGTGGTGCGAAAATGGGCATAAATTCAGCAGACCTACCACAACAAAATAAAATAAAATCCTTTGAAAAGTGGAACATAAAAATGAAAGCTTTCGGATAATTCCAAAGTTAGCTACTTTTCAAATTTAAACTTGAAAAAAATAACCATTCAAAACTCAAGACTAAATTCAGCAGATTTTACCACAACAAAATAAAATAAAATTCCTTAGGAGCTGACACATAAAAATTAACGCTTTCTTGTGATAATTCCTACGTTAAATATTTGGGCAAGTAATTTGTTAACAAAAATAATTAGACAATATCCATAACCCAAATATTTGATGAAAGAAGATTATTCCATTCGCACCTAAAGGTAACATAATTTTCATAGGTAGATGGAATCTGAACCAAGCCCGAACATGTGTGTGCAATAGGCACTCGTTTAAATCCTACCGAATTCGTAAATTCTATGCGTATTTTCTGAACAGGAAGATCAGAACCTGTGCAAAATCTCAAAAATGCACATTTAACTTTTTGGTCCTCTTCTTTTATAAATTTTTTTAGGTGCTTGTAAACCTGAAGCTTGTCCACTGATAAGTCATCCTCTTTAATATCAAACAGTGCAATAATATTTTTATCGGATGGTTCAAGTTTTTTATATAAGTAATCCAAGTCTGTGGTAAGGCAAATTGACTCACACTCTAAGGCAAAGCACTCTTTCACAAATGCTGTTTTTTGGAGTAACTCCTCCTTGGCAATTTGCTTAATAAGCGTTTTGATGTTTTCTTTTGAAGGGTTCCATTTGGCATTGTAATTGGAGCAAAACTCCAATAGTTCTTCAAAATCGACATCCTCGAAGTTATCGATTGCTGTTTTCAAAAGAAGTGCGTCCGAATGACAAACGTATTTGAGAAAATCTCTTATGTATTCTTCATCCTGCACCGTTTTTCTGAAGCATTGTTTCATAAATACTGGGGCTAGTTTAACTGGAAAATATTCAAGAGCTTCTAGTCCTTTTATCAATATTTTCCCTATAGTTTGCCACTCCCCTTTTTGAAAGTCGTGTCTTAGGTATGGAATTTTCAAATCCGTCCCCGTACTACATTTCGCATAAAATGTTTCCCAAAACTCCGCAATAGCATCTCTCAACACACCCCCCGCATCTGATGCGATTTCAGCCGTTCCATTCGGAAGAATCATTTCTATTTGTATTTCTTTAAAATCGTTATATTTATGGGTTTTTACGGCATCAAGAAGTTCCTCGAAGATATGTCCTCTATGGAGTACTAATAGGGATTTAGGAAACTGAATATTGGATGCTGAATTTTCAGTTTCGAATACGTCTAATATACTAGTTCCAAGATTTGCTTCAAACGCGACTTCAAATGTACGCCCCTGGCCCTGGAACAACAAAATAATAGTATATTATTACATGAGCGATTATGCAGGCCATTATTTAACGAGGGTGAAGGTTGAGCCCACGAGCCAAAGGCGAGTGGCTCAATCACCCGAGTGAATAATGAGCATAAACGCGAGTATAATACTATACTTTTTCTACACCTATGGAATAAATAAAGAGCAACTGAAATCGACAAAATACGAGAAAATCTCACATGACAGGAGTGTAAAAACAACAAGAACACAACAATTCAAGCGGTAACTATCGGAACGCTACCCTCAGTTGCCATGCGCAACTGAAAAAACTGTTGAATTATGAAAATTTTGGCCTGTGATTGGACCCAGACCTTTGGCTTATGATTTATAAGCCAACGGGTAAAAATAATGACTACTATTATTCAAGGAAAAAACGTTACCTAATAATTGACATATTATTCATTGAGTGTAGAAAAAATTAAGTATTTCTAAAATGAAAAAAAGCAAATTTTTGCAATACGGGTCATAAAGTGTGTCCCACTTTTCATGAATACACCCCAGTATCTCAGTTATTATTAACGCGATTTTATTCAAATTTTGGTGGTGATTGTATTTTAGAAAAATGAACTATTTAACATAGTTAGCACTCTTATTTCCCATTGGCGTGTGGTAAAAAAGGGTTGTATTTTTGGGGAAAAGATATTGGGGCTTATTTTAGAAAATTTTTTGTATCAGATTAAGAATCAGCATTCCCAAAAGCCCTTTTAATTCATATTTTCAAAAGCTCAAGAGCTGATTTTCACGTTTTCTTTGTGATAACCAAATTGCAGATGACATTATTTTAGATAATTGAATTATCTACATAACTACCTTCTATAAGACAATACACTTTTCAACAATAATTCTTCTTAACCGTCTATTCACTTTTCTGGAAGTTTGGGGAGTAATTTCCTGACACGCTTGCCTAATTCTAACGCGAATAAATAATGTTCACCTATTTTAAAGATTTTTCAAAACTGATGTAAACTTTAAACATATTTTATTAGAAATTATTAGAATATTAGAAATATTGAAAATACCAGTTTTTTTCAAAATATTGGTTATCACAACTAGAAATAAACAGCTTATTAGAAAAAGTAAATTAAAATAAACGTAGATAGCATTTTTTTTCTTAAAATCAGCACTTGAGATTTTGAAAATATGGAATAAGGGATTTTTGGGGATGCTGATTCTTAATCTGATACAAAAAATTATCTAAAATAAGCCCTAATATCTTTTTCCCAAAAATACAACCCCTTTTTACCCCACAACACCGCACGCCGATGGGAAATAAAAATGTTTACTATGTCGAATAGTTCATTTTTCTAATATACAGTCACCACCAAAATTTGAATAAAATCGCATTAATAATAACTGAGATATCGGGGTGTATTCATGAAAAGCGGTGTAACGGGCCAAAATTGCATAAACATTTCTTACCTACTTTCAATTTTATATTCAAGATTTCCTTAAATTTGTCAACATTTTCTCTATAAAATTTCATCAATAATCTCAACGGTTGTAGATCCTGTAAATTTTCTAATTTTCCATAGTCAAATTCTATTTACTGTGATAGTTTGTTTCCTCATTTTAATCCATATTTTAATTCAATTCTAAATCAAAACAAAGCAATGTTTTAATTACTATTTTAAATTCGATCATCTGTTTCATCCAAAAATAATTAATTCATCTGTCAAAAGTATGTCGTGTTCCGTGATCGTGATGTACCGTTTTCAGGTGGATGTACCGAGCTACTCCGTTCGTACTAACTGTTCCGGTTGTGGAGCGCTATCGATCTCGGCGCAAATTCGAGCGAACCCAGAGTCGCGCATTGGTTCGATGTTCTTTGAGACATCTTGAACGCACCGCACCCTTTGACTTCGTTTCTTTGACTTTTGATTGTCAAAAATTTCTGTCAGCCAGCGGTGGAGTAGTGATGTTTTTGGTATCGTCGATTCTTCCTTGAGCTCTCTAATTTTGAAAACGGAACACTTGCTCTATTTTGTATTCTTCAAGTTTTGATTGTTTTATGGGTTGATTGTTTGTTGTTAATATCATAATTCATCAGCCGTTGTTATTTTTCTCAGTTTATATTGTTGTGTGCAATTTTTGGTAAGTGGGAATTCTGTCGATTGGTTGTTGTTGTTTGTCGTTGTTCTCGATCATCTCTAAGTCTGAATTCCTTCCTTTGGGTTAGGTTAGTTTATTAATTGAAGGTGTAACACATTTCTTTTCACATCTAGACGTTGGAGAATTAGGGTCTTTATGAAGATTGTCTTCGCCTTTGTGGGATTTCGACCCTAAATTCTCATTTGAAGTTATAACATTTAGTTGCCTTCATGCCTTACGTTTTCGTAGTGTTATAATTTTCGCCGATTTATTCGGATTTTTACAACTCCAATGTGGTAAGCTGCTTACACGTTTTTTTCTTATAGTAGAGTCTGACTTTTTCAATTTAATTTAGTTGAAAGCTGCCCTAAGGAGTAGAGAATTCTCACTCTCTCTAGGAGATCCAATCCTCGATCCAGATTTCCAGAGATTTTCGAGGCGAAAAACCCTATTTCAACAGGTAAAAGAAACATAACCTTATAACAATTTTTGCAGGCTCGGGGCACGTTTTTCTTGATCAATATCAAAGCTTTATTATGATTCAATCTGATTTAATTAATTAATATCTTAATGTTCAATTTTTCTATTAAAATAATTTTCAAGAGCTATAGTTTTTTTTTATCAAGTAAATTTGCTATTGGGAACTAATCATTATAGTTTCATTTTCTAATTCAATTTATTCATGAAGTACTTCGCTATTAGTTCAATTACAAATATAGTGTGTATAACAGTTTTTCTCTTAGGGTCCTTTCACGAGGGTATTTCCTTTGACGAGGGTATTTTCTTTCACGAGGTTTTTTCTTAGGAGGTTGTACTTTACCATCAAGTATACCCTCACGAGTCATGGTTATAACAATAGACGTTCAATTGTAACCGAAATTGAACCAAAAGGCTAACAGACACCAGACTAAGTAATCGGACGGTTACTCAAGTCATCGATCAAGTTAACCACAACCAGTAGCCAGGACTAATCTGGTGAACTGAATGAACCACCATCATCTGGAAAATTTTGGTATCGTACTAGTTTTAGTTATCCTGATTGTTATTGTTTATTTACATTCTGTCCCTATTTGTACACCCGGTGATCACCTCGGTATTTCAGGGAATAATTCATTGCTGGCCCCAGTGTGGTAAATGAATTATTAAAGTAGGTAACTTAACTAGACGTAACCTGTTGAATTAATGTCAACTTATTGGTAGTTCTGGTTACGAAAGTGTAAGGTAACCGTTCCGAAAACTAATTCTACATTATTAGTTTTTTTTCCCTCTCTTATTCTCTTTATATTTTTTTTTAAAGTTTTCAAACCTTACTTTTAATATATATCCTTTTTTTTATTACTTAGTTATTGAGTTTCAATAACATATTTTTGCATTTAAATTTAATTGTTCTTGACTATAGCAATTATTTAAAAACGTATAGCATTTCTGTATCTGTTGGTTGACACTTCATGACAAGGTCATTTATTAATTGCTAATTTACTTGATTATTATTAATTTATTTTTTTTTTCTTAAATTCAAATTACTGTTCATTGTGGTCTGCGGCCATTTGGTGAATAAATAACTGTAGCACTTGATTTCTTGACTTTTATTTGGTTTTATGCACACAGCCTGGTTTTGCTAATATTTTTTTTTTTTTTTATTAATTATTATTTGGATTGTAAGGACCTGAAGCCAGATACCATCCTGGAGAGTCCGACTCATCTGTTCAGAGTCGGTGGCGCCCAAAACTAAAACCCACCCCTACTCTCCGAATTATTTAGTTCTGAGCTAGGGCTTAATTTGCACGCACTTCGACCTTCAGTCTTACAATCTCAAGTTCTTCATTCAATTATTTTTATTTTTATTTTCATTATTTTTATTTTATTTTTTTTTTGATTTTTTTTTTATTCTCGACTTTCTCGACTAGGAAATTTATTTTTCTAAATTTATTTTTTTTTTTAATAAACTTTTCTTAATCAGCGAAAAAGCGTGGCAGCGGGACACACTGATATTGAGCAACGAATGGGGAAAACGGCCAATTACCCGCTAGTGTGTAATTGGTCTGTCCGCACATGTTGCACACTATTCTTTTTTTACGATGACTAATAATTATGCAACAAAATAGGGATAGGAGATTTTTGTCAAAAAAGCCATCAAATGTGTTCTGTGTATCTGAAAGATTTCCCTTTTGATATGGGAGAACCTTGGTGTCGGTATTTTCACAGTGCCCTGTAGAGGTGACGACTGTGAAGGGTTTTCGTCTTTAGGTAGAGTGCAGCCTCACACTTTGGGTATAGGCTTAGGGTTTTGTGGTAAGTGAGTAATACACCAGTAAAGGTTTGATACTAATTTATTATTTGAAATGAGCCGATATTTATACACAAAAATTATTAATAAAATAAAAGTAATTTGGAATGATGATGATTTTGCAGATTGCTGCAATTAGGTTGGTATTTTAAAACTTGCTAGTTAATTAATAACAATATTGGATTATTGTTTGTATTACATGGTTGCGTCAATGCAGGTCAATATAATCAAACTGGTCCACTTTACGGTTTTTTAACTAAATCCTATAAATTTCTCTTATGGCTAATTTTGAATACTTCTCAAGATTAGACATTCTGGCCGCCGCAATCTTGGTCAGCTGCTGGCATCGGTGTCAATTTCGTGGTTCCTGCTGTAGCTTCGAAGCGGTTCCAAGGGTATTCCGTTGATATTGTGGTCTTCTTGACGTCTTGGTTTCGTCTTATGTTTTCGATACCCGAGATATCCCAAGAGTGCCAAGATTATGATGGTGATAAGT